GGACCAAATTGAGTCAACATCGGCAGCTTCGATCGTCCCTAATCTGCCCGGGTCACAATCGAAAATCGCTCTCGAAAACAAAAATTCTGATTGGTTTAGCAGTGTCATGCACTGTAAAGGAGTGTCCGCATTGTGTATTCCTCCCGAGATTCGTTGCTCGTGATGCTATTTGTTAGCCCAGCGTAATCTCGAGGAAACATTTGGTGTCTGCTGGTCTGGCGACTTGATCAGCATTTGGAGGGTGCTTGCTTTGGCCGGAGTGGTTCGCCTTTGTGTTCGACTCCGTCGTTCCAGTGAACATCTGCAGGCCTTTGGAAGTCTCAACGGGCGGAGAGAGCGGAACGGCTACCGATGGTCAACCAGCATCCCTCCTTCCGAGCCGCGCTGACGGCTCAAAACTCCGGATGCATTGTCTGGCGGCGGGGGTGCTGTTGTGCCACAGACATGTTCCTCGTTCGGGAGCGCGTCTCGCAGGATCGAGCCCTCTTTCGACGAACTGTCTCCCCCCCCCCCCCCCCTCCCAGTGCCGCCTTCCGTGCAGAAGAACCGTGCAGTCCGGGGATAACGTCGTTTCCTCCGCCGGACCACTTTGCAGTTCCGGGTATGGCTACGTCTCCCCCTCCGAGCCCGAGAACTGGTCTAAGAGAATGGACCAAAGACGCTATTTAAGGCCGAGCTGGCCCCATGTTAGGAGATTTTTCGCCCCAGCCGACGTTGTCGTGCTGGCCGGCTCTGTAAAACGAGAACCTGCTTCAGTAAACGCTATTTTGTTGCTGTTTTTCAAACGGATTGCCTCCCTGTTTCACCTTCGGGCTAAGGCTTCAGCGAAGTCCGCTCGACGGCTCGCCGCTCATCGCCACCGCTACCATCGCGACAGAGCAAAATTCCTAACACCATACGATTCGGTTCGTTGCATTCAATCCTTTCATCTTTATCTCTATCTCTCGTTAGGTTCGATTTACATTTCAATTCATTTGAATTTGTTATTCAGACATATACACAATTCACAGTGTGAACCACGAGGTAAGAAGAAAGACTGTTATATTATTTGACGAGGTCTTCATCCCAGACTTACATGTGTTCTTTCGTTTTAGTTGCTTGAATTGCATGCGTGGTTCTTTCTTCACATTGGTCTCAATTTTTAGCAAGTTCTTTAGCTCTAGACGACAGTTTTGGTCGGAGTTGGTTACTTTAGACTATTCTCTATTCCTGCTGTGTCTTTTTCTGTCACTAACAGTTATACTTTTTGCCATTTCCGGACAGTAGTTGATAACAATATCTGGAGTTTTACGTCCCATATGTTTATGCCCCGCCGCGGTGGTCTAGTGGCCAAGGTACTCGGCTGCTGACCCGCAGTTCGCGGGATCGAATCCCGGCTGCGGCGGCCGCATTTCCGATGGAGGCGGAAATGTTGTACGCCCGTGTGCTCAGATTTGGGCACACGTTAAAGAACCCCAGGTGGTCTAAATTTCTGGAGCCCTCCACTACGGCGTCTCTCATAATTATATGGTGGTTTTGAGACGTTAAACCACACATATAAATCAATCAATCAATCAATCAATCAATCAATCAATCAATCAATCAATCAATCAATGAATCAATCAATCAATCAACCAGTCAATCAATCAATCAATCAATCAATCAAGTCACAAGATGAGGAAGAAGCTAAACAAAGTTGTGACATAGTGGAGTGGATCGCAGATAGCACGACAGGTGGCGACATTATTAGCCCCTTGGCAGATGCACAGCAAGGCTTGAAATACCGAGCTTTGTTTACGTTGCCGAGTTCATTGTGCTACCAGACTGTTCAAGGGAACTCATTATAGGAGTGGACTTTTGCGAGCTAATGGCGCCGTAATTAACCTGCGTAGGTCGAGCGTGTCGTTTTCGACTGAACGAGCTATACCTGTGGAGGAATCTGAGGAACAACGCCTAACTGCTCTACGCGTTATTCATGATGACGTAACTGTGCCGCCATGCTGCAGTGTAAAGGTGATCGTAGAGAATTACGCATTGTACAACCGCGAAGGCATAGCGGATACAAATGTAGGGCTGTTTTTGAACAAAGGTGTCTGCGTAGCTCGGGGTCTTGTTCATTTGACGAATGGCCGTGTAGATGTCCTACTCACAAAGGCACATTGAATTTTTGTGTACATGTATGCCAACATAATCATGCATATTAGAGCAAATGTCTTCACTGTAACGTAGTGATGTTAGTAGTGAAATATAGATGTGCCGAAGTGTATGTGCCCTGTTACTGGAATGGTATGAAGCCTTTGTGTTCTGTACATGCTGTAAATAAACTTTTTCTAAACAGGGACGGCTCACAGCTCTCCCATAGTTGAGTACGAAGTACTCGAAATCGTTCACCACTTTCTCTATACACACAAATTTCTCCTGTGATCTTCAACACATCGCTCAAGCCACGGCTATTGCCTATTTACATGACTTCTGTATGGCGACAGAACTATGAAGCTTAACGACGTCAACCACTCGACCAGTGGCCTGCAACATCGACACATCCGTGATCGTCAACCAGAACCTTCCGGACAGTCAAAAGAAACAGATTTATGCCTTGGTAAAAGAGTTGTCTGATTACGTCTCAACTGCCTCGAAGGTCCAGCGCACGTCGATTAGGAAACACAGAATTATAACGCAAGACGACACGAGGCCTATATGCCAGCATCCATATCGAGTGTTACAAAAAGAACGGGACATTATCAAGAAGCAAGTAGAGGAGATGCTTGCAGATGATGTCATCCAGCCTTCGAATAGTCTCCATAGGCGTCCCCCCGTAGTGTTCGTTAAGAAGAAAGACAACACACTTAGATTCTTTGTCGACTACCAAAAACTGAACAGTTTAACTAAACGACATGTCTACCCCTTGCCACGTATCGACGGTACGCTAGATCGGCTGCGATCCACAAAGTTTTTCTCGTCCTTGGATCTGAAAAGCGGATACTGGCAAATAGAGGTCGACGAGCGGGACCGTGAAAAAAAGGCATCCGTAACACCAGATGGCCTCTACGAATTCAAAGCGCTTCCATTCGGCCTCTGTTCCGCGCCAGCGACGTTCCAGAGAATGATGGACACTGTCCTCGCGGGATTGAAATGGCAGCCATGCCTAGTGTATTTGGATGACGTGGTGGTATTCTCTGCAATGTTCGACCTACATCTAGAGCGATTACGCACAGTTTTGGAAGACATCCGGTCAGCAAACTTGACAATAAAACCGAAAAATGCCACTTCGGCTTCGAAGAGCTGCGATTCCTTGGACATGTCATTAGTTCTGACAGTGTTCGTCCGGATCTTGAAAACACAGGCGCAGTTCAGAGGTTCCGAACACCCAGAGAAAAAAATTCAGTCAGTAGATTGTCTGGTTTATGAGCCTACTATAGGCGATTTGTGGAAAACTTCTCAAAGATCGCGAAACCTCTTACAAAACTAACAAAAGACGACGTGCCCTTCAATTGGGAAAGCGAACAACAGAAAGCTTTTGACGAATTTAGAAAAAGGCTACAGGGGTCACCAATACTAGCCCATTTTGATGAGACAGCCGACACTGAAGTCCATACCGATGCCAGCAATGTCAGCCTCGGCGCCATCCTGGTGCAGTGGCAAAATGGTCAAGAGAAAGTGTTAGCCTATGCCAGCCGCAAACTCTCAAAAGCTGAGGCAAACTACTCTGCAACTGTAAAAGAGTGCCTCGCAGTCTTCTGGGCAGTAAACAAGTCTTCATTAAAATGAACTTGTGCCCACGAGTCTATAGTGACCATGGTCGTCGAAGTCCGAATAGCTGAGTTTTACAGTTTGTTTGTTTGTTTGTTTGTTTGTTTGTTTGTAGCCTACAATCCATGGCTCATACCCACTCTGGGAGATTGGCCAAGAGAACATAGTCTCACATGGACAACTGTACTATTGCTTGCAACAAAAAAAGGAAAAACAAGTTGTAAAATGAAGACAGTATAATAAAAAAAAAAGAAAACAAAGATTCAGAGAGCGAGAAAAAATATCAAGAAGAAAATAGACACTAATAACTGTACCTTGATTGTGGGAGCCGACCAGACAGCTGATTTTGCCAAACCTGATTAATTCGGTATGTCGTGATTTTATCTAGATTCGAAAATTACTTCTCGACCTGCTATTTTTTTTCAGTATCTGTAAACGTGAGCTTTATGTTGAAAAACGTTTAGAGTCTTGAATAAAATTACACACCGCATCGAATGCGTCTCTATGGCCATTTAAGCTCCAACTATCTTCCTCTTCCTCGTAGCCCGAGCGCACGAACCCGTGGCGCATGCCAGCCGGGTCTTGCTGGTGCTCGTGCCACGATGACTGCGGCTGGCTACTTGAACGTAGCCAACCTGTCGCGGCAATATGGGAAGTCATGATGACGTCACTAATTTTGGAGGCATGTGAATTATCAGGTTTATTTTTTCACTTGTGTGGGTGCCAGGAATTTGTTCTCGCTTTTGATAAGGCAATTAAGGTTTCCGCTTTCGTAAGCACCATGAAAGTTTAGTGATCAATAAGCCCTTCCTCTGAATTCACATACACGACTTCTTACACTAAAAATGGTTTAATAGGCAAACACTTCGCAAGTTTCACAATGGCACAGTTACATATATACGATATCCCTCGTCTATAGATCGTGTTTCGATCGGATTGACAGAAAGTGCATTTGGAGGAGGCGTACATACCTAAATAAAAAACGGCGCACGCTTTCCCCCCAGCGTTGCAAGAGCTGCGATTGCTACTATAGAGAATTCATCTCGCCAAAGTAGCGCGAAAACCGCAGCAGCGTTCGGTTCAGCTCGTTCCGATGTCTCGTGGCCTTTACCGAGCTGAGAATGTTCCGTTTCTCCTTCGAGAGAACACAGTCCAACCGCCTTTTCGCAGACGGTGCCAGCGGGACAGGCAGTACAGGGCTCGCCTTCCCGGTAAAGGGGTCTCTTGAAGACGTTGCCCGTCCCGGCGTAGTTGCACACGTAGTACTGCATCTACGGCAGGCGGTTCGCGTTCGCCACGCTGTACTCGACGAATCCGCAGCCCACGTAGCTCGTATCGGCCCACACGAGCTGGGTGAAGTGGCCCGTCGGCTTTCGTCGGTCTTGAGCGAGTACGCGGAAGCTTTGACGTCGCTCCGGCGAGAAGTCGGCGTGCTCGATGAACCACTCTCTGACGCGGCCGGACCAGTCGTTCTCCAGGAAGGGGAAATTGCGGCCCCGGAAGGCCAGGTTCTGGCCCGTGTTTGGGAACCGAAGGGTGAATCGGTCCCGGTATAGTTGTCGTGGTCGGACTCGCCTTCGCTGCCGGTGCACTGCTCGGCGAGAGCGTGCGCCCGTCAGGAGAGGGAGACATTGGTGAGGAACTGGAGAAAGATGCACACGTTCGAATACGTTGCCACATTCGCTCGTGCGCATAAATCAACAAACTCGCTCATACTCAGATTGGTTGTTGACTCTGAGTCTGAGTCCTCGTTAGTAAGATAAAGGTGAACCTTAGACCGAATGGATACGGTTGACAAAAAGTCCAAGGGAGTTCCAAGTGGGTCTGTTTGAGCTTAACATTTTTTTCGACCTTAGAACATTTTATTCACCCATTTGATTGTTTTCTTACAGAAAAGTAAAGCGGCCAGTGTTAAAAGCACGACCATGTGTTTGATTGAGGCACTGACTTCTGTACAATCGGTGCTAGACTCTCGCTATAAGGGGAACGAAAAAAGGGGATGGTGGTTGCCGCTTCTCACCAAAGAGTAATATAATAATCCTGCTGTCTGAATAACAAGCTTGGGTCCTTACTAAGGTGATAGCCTTATGTGTATCGCGACCGGCGGCGACGTGAACACAAACGTGAACGAGGTTTGCGGACAGTTAGCCTCACAGACGCACGCAAGTATGCTCAGAGCAAAACGTCGCATCGTGCCACAAGTGTCGTGATGTTTTGATGTCGTCGTGGTGCCACAAATGACGGCAATTCCTTACGTCAGGAATGACGTCATCAAATTACTCTTTCGCTTTTTTCAAAGTTGGGCAGCTGTTGTAGGTAGTGCAACACAGGGTGAAGTCCAAGAACTTCCAGGAGGAGCTGGAGGAGGAGAATCGCCTGTGAACGTTAAGGTAATTCAAGTAGTGCCTTGTAAGGACGTATACACCTTTGCGTGTGATCTCTTTAGCCTTACTTAAGGGGCGGCCACTTTTTAAAGTCGTACTGCCATTAGGCAGTTTTAGAGTAGGGCCAGCAGAGACCACGTTGGTTATGATGCGATGCTATAGTTTATTAATGTGGGTAGCCAGAAGGTACAGCGTGGACACATGCGCAGTGGCACAAAGTGCAAAACTGTGCATAAGAAGTCTAGCGACAGGACATTAAAGCAGCTTGTGGACGTAATCTCTTGCTTTCCTTTGTAATAATAGTGGCTGTTGTTGGGAGCACAAAAGAACGCAAGAACGTTCGTACGCAAGCACGCTAGTGGCTTGGGGTCCTTTGCACCACAAGGCCGTGTTTGTTTTTTACACCGTGCCCTCGACTGACCTGGGCCACAGATGCCAGCTCGGCGTCCCACTCGAGTTTGCGCATGTCGGCAGCCGGCGGGAAGCCCTTGAGCTTGCCCAGAGCCACCATGCTGCGGAAGTCGTTGTGGGTCTTCAGGATGAGGAGCCTGTCCGACGGGCTTACTCCGCTTTTCGCAATTTTGCAGTTCTTGTTGGGAGCCCTGCATGCCGTGTGAGTCGGTCGCCGCAGCCTGTACTCCTCCTTGATCTCCTGAACGGCAGGCGTGACGAGAGTCGAGAAGCACAAGACACCGAGCAAGAACCACCACCCGGATACCATCGTCGCTGTTTGCATTGTCACTCGTAGAAGAACGGCTATTTGGGCTAGTTGGTTTGAAAGAGGACAGTGCTCGTGTTGTCCTCTTTGCTTTCCTTGCCTCGCCTTTCATCTGTTTCTTTTAGCACCTTCGTGCTCGCGCTGCAGCCCTTATTACCATGTTTGTCACTCGTGGCTCACACCCACTGGGTGGGCTGAGCATTAATAGTATGCATAGTTGCTTGGGGGCATACTGCGAAACATCGTACTGCTGAAGGAAGAGATGGCGATGCACAGCGCCACAACGTCTGTTGCGCACGGTAGAGAAGAGTTAGGATTTATGAAGATGAATATGGCAGTCGCATATGATATGCAGCGAGGAGATATGCGACTATGCCAAGGTATACTGTTACCACTTGCGGTTTTGCCATTTCTGGTAATGTGTGGCCCGTCTGGTCAATTATCGTTGCGCATTGGGCCAGTGGCTCCTTCTGGAAAACAAAAATGACCGTTTACGTGTTCAGTTGAATTCTGAAGCTGTGAGGCTCTACTTATCTTGTTTGTCTTTGCTCATCAGCACAATGTTTCGCTGTGTTCCTAGGGGGGCAGGAGGCAACCAGACAGGAGGCGGGGAGGTTAACCAGACACATGTCGCAAGGACAAAGCAATGAATGCGATATAAACAAATTAGAAGGTTAGATGATACTTGCACCCGAATCTTGCACTCAAGTATCCTTTACCATCCAACCCGGCGTAAGCCAACGAAACGCCTCCGGGGTAAAGTAAGTCTTCTGCGTCGAGTGGAATGACCGATCGTGCTGCCTTACGCTTCAACATAAGCCAAGCGGTCAGAGTACAGCACACACAACGGTATGAGCCATCTGGTGATCTACAGACGATCCCTCCTAACAAAGCGAGACCTCGTCCATCTGGTCAAAGTACGCAGGTTCGGTCGGAGTGACGCAGATGCCCTCTGCAGCACCCGCCGTAGGCCATTCGTGCGAAAAAAGATGGCCGGAGTGTTTCACCTTCGCTTCCTCTGCGGTCATCGGCTTCCTTCGTACGCTTTCATTCGAACATAGAACATACGATTCTCGATGCGATGTTTCACCCCATCATACGTGATTTTTTAATAATTGTTGGGTTTTATGTCCCAAAATGACCACATGTATATGAGATGCGCCGTAGTGGACGGCTCCGGGATTTTCAACCACCTGGGTTTTTTTAAAGTGCACCTAAATCTAAGCACACGGGCCTCAAGCACTTTCACCTCCATCGGAAATGTAGCCGCCGCGGCCGGGATTCGATCCCGCGACCTTCGGGCTAGCAGCTGAGTGCCTTGAAGGGAAACCTTGAAGAGAACAATTAGTATTACTGGTGCTCGGTGTTGTGGATACGCGGAGACCTAGGAGGTGGTTTCACATTTCAGCTTTTGTTTATTATAGGACGAAAGGCTTGGCTGCCTCATCGTTTGTGGAAAGTTGCTGTTGCTGGCCACAACACAGTAGTAATGCAAAAAAATATAGATCATGTGATAAGGTCACCAGAATTGGAGAAGTAACTATGACGTCATCGTGAAGTCATATAACGTGACGCCATATGAACAGCGTGCGCTGTCACCGCAACGGTGCAAGTGATAGAAGGTCCCTACCATGCAGATTGTTGCTCCTCGCCAAGGCAGCCCGAAAACAGCAGCGTTCGGTTCAGCTCACTCTAATTTTCCTCGTTCTTTGTTGAGCAGAGAATTTTCTTTCCTTGCTTCAAAAGTACATGGTCCGACCACCTCGTCACAGCTCATTTCATTTACGTGGTAGCAACGGCGGAATTAAAAAAGAAAGGCGAAGACGGTCTCAGAACCACGCGCCAACAATCGTCATTAGGATGAGAGTGGGAAGAAGGAAGCTATGCCGTTGTTCTCGGCTCTTTACGGATGGTGTGGTGAGACTGTGGCACGACGACATTGACAGTGAGAGCTCATCTTAAGACAGAGCTCCACAGGGACCATGTCGGAGTACATATAGATACATGGTTTGCATATTGGCGACATGTTGTTTATTGCTCTGGCCTGCAGCAAATGCCCCGCTAAGCACGCGGATGAAGGTTCAACTCCCTGCATGAAAGGAAACAGGAGAGAGCGTTGAGTTAATTAATGGCACTGAGCACAAACACAAGAACGGGAGGAGAGAACAAGCTGGGGTACATCGCTTGTTCACAAGTAAATGACACAAGTATTTTTAAATAAAAAAAGTTTATTGCACAAGATGTGTTCCGAAATAAAGACAACTAATAGATGGTACTTCTGATATAATATAGCTAACTTAGAACAAATGCTCTGGCGGTGCCCCGCATCACAATGTGATGAAGTCTTCACGCCGTACAAATGAGAAGGTGCTATTTCTGCCCGTCTCTGCCTGTTGGACTGCCCATAACGACAATTATGGGCAGTCCAACGGGCCCGAGACGCAGCACAGACTTTGCCTTTCTGTTCCGACGTGGGAGCTGCCCGCCCGGTGCTAAAGCGCGTTCCGAAGGACCTGATAAAGTTCATCCACGCATCCACCTAAATGTTAGACAGCTTTTTTAGGGCATCAACAGAGCTTCTACGGACGCCCTGATAGGATTTTCTAATAATGGAGGGTTGAGAATTTCGGCTTGTGACCGGTCCTGCTATATATGCGAGCACGTTCCACGTAACGGGCGATAGTCACGCATCTCGATCATCGTTACGCACGAAGAGAGAACAGCATTAGCTGTTAGAACTTTATACCGTGCTTATGAGAAGAATAATGCTCGTGAGAAGAAGAATAGGAGCGCGAAAGTATATGGTATAATATGCGAGAAGCCGAGATGATCGAACGAAGGAATATAAAACGCATGAAGGTGATGACGTAACGGAACGTGATATATACAGGTCATTGTCTGACGCTGCGGAGTACAGCGTTGCTGTTTTACACTGCTTAGTGCAACAGGGAAGGAGCTTTCGTTAGCCGTAGCATACGGCGTGTTCTGTACTGGTGAGTGTATACTCTCAAGAAGATTCGCTATAAGCAAGAGCCTCGTCTGTATTACTGCGTCACTTGTTGAGGATTGACATAACGAATATACATGTATACATATTTAAAGCATGACCTTATACGCAATATCGCGCTTTGGTAGCGGATATGCTGCATTGTATACTTCTCAGTAGCGTTTTCACGTGGCCGAAGAACCCGAGCGCGACGTGATCAGAAAAACGACAATGGAAAGGCTACGTCAAACGCCACGCGGACTTGTTAGTAAACCTTGCACCGGTATAGTTTTATATATGTTCTGTTATATGATCTGTTATACTACTAACAACCGCTTTCAAAAGGTACAATGAACTGCCTTTCTAAGTAATCAATAGTGTAATCAGTGTCGCAGTTTGTCTCGAATCTATCGCCCCAAATTTCTTTTTGCATCCGTTGAAATCAAGAGGAGTTACTTGATTTTGTCGCAGGCTCTAAAGGGTCGCGGCTCACTGGTATAGAGAGGTGGGCGACTGAATTCGATGCGTGTTGTACACAACCAGCGCAAAAAAGACGCATAGCACAAAAATGGAAAGACCTAGAGACGGTGACAACCTAAGAATAAATACAGGCTCCACCCACGAGGCCTCATTGCCCTTATTTTACATGCCTCCGCGCTACGAAAGAAGTAGTTCCCAAACAGTGGCCATAATTTTCAAGCATACAGCCATTACCTTACAATACTTGATTGGTGTTAAAATAGAGAATCCAAAGCTCGATAAATAAACTTGACAAAGCGCGGACTTGAGGGTCAGCGTAGCAATATGTCTGTTGTTTAAATCACACCCCCCCACAGCGCTCATCTCTGGATCCACGAAGAGCAATGCATATCTCTCGAAGGCGATGTTTCTGTGCAGTACCTGAGGTTGTACTAAACAAACAATGCCAAATTTCACGTAATGTTTAAAATTTGGAAATGCTTCTTTTGCGGTTTCACAAAATGAAACAGGGGCAATAATCACTTTTAATTTGATTGTTTGCATTTTTTTACTAAACTTTTGCTGCCAGGTTTCTTCGCTGTTTTCTGTAACTATGACAACCATGACTCACTGCCAAGAATGGAGAAGCGATCTGAGATAGACTTCGCGAATTTTGATTCTTGTGCTGCCTTAAATACTGAATAAACGTTTCGCGTTGCCGTGCTTGTCATCGTGTTTCAGGTTAACGCCAATGTTTCATTCGACGTCTTGTTTTACCAAATAAACACGCGTAGCATACGTTGTGCTTAACTGTGGCGATCATCGCATACGTTGTCGTTAGGTTATTGGCCAAGGCGATGTACGTGGCTGAAGTGGCAACGACACCATTCTTCCGTACCGTCCCGACGCAACTGAGTCGACAACCATTTCCAAAGCGAAATTATTGTGACATATAATGCTTTGATAACGGCATTAGGTCTCACAAATATTTCATCGAGTTTCACAATAACTTCACGATGATTTTGTCATCGTGCCGTGCTCCCGTATTTGGAGCATGGCTCAGAGCCATTAGGGATGGGCAAGTCGCGAGTAAAGCTGGTCGGAACAAGAGAAGATAGAAAGTGGAGAGTAGTAGCATGGCAAGTTAAAGTATATCGCCAGTGCAGACGAGAGCATGAAGGCAATTTAGTAAACCGAATAAGCTGTACATATTATATGAATCAGAGTTAAAAGAAGGGTTGAATGCTTCGTGTTCTTTTCGAAAAAGGCACTAAGCTTGTAATTCATTTATGCCCTCACTCGAAGTCATTTTTCGTGTTCAATGTAAAAAGTAATGATGCAGTTTTCTTCTTACAGGTAGGTGGAGGAGTGATTTGTAAGTTGTTCAGGAAAATGCACTGGGCCACCGTTTCTATTGTTATTGTGCTTAGCTTTATGTTGTATTCTTCAAGTGGTAAGTAGCCTAAACACATCAATTCCTAAGCGGATCAGAATTATAGCTTTAGGTACTACTACTGGCAGCACCTATGGCATAAATTTGATTTATCACCCGAACTGTTTTAATATTGGTAAAGCTCCTTTTTCGCCCCACGCGAACAACAGCAACAACAACAATAACAACGACAATCACAATAGCAACAACAATCACGATAACAATAACAATACCAATAACGACAATAACAATAAACACAATACTAACAATAACAACAATAATAATAAATGTTCGCTTTACCAGCAGTACATAAGAAAATTATGGAGGGGGTGGGAAGAAAGCGACTACCCACTTGACAGAGTTCCCATTCCCATGAAGGTAGCAGCAGTGGCGCACGCACACACGCACACAGTGGTCTGCTCAGCAAGGATTTGCAGGTTCATAAAGCGTCCATTTCTACGCTGTAGTGCTATACGAGGAGGGACTGATCGCTACCACTGTATGCGATGTAAGCTTCTCTTTTGATTCTTCCGCGGAGCTTGGTCTTCGGTTACTGGAGTTTCTAGTATACAGTGAAAGCTTAAGTATATGCTGAAGCCTTGATTACTGATGAACTACTAAATCTTTGGGTAAAAAAAAAATTGGCATATCCTACGTACAGTGGGAATTTATAATATGCGAAGCACGAATGAGTAAGATTGATATGTCACTTTAAAATGAGCCCAACGTTACAGGCGGAGGTAAATTGTGGCGTACATGACTTTTTTGTCATGATTATCATGCTTGAACGTGTCACTTACCTTCGTCATCTATTTACGTCACGTAACACCAAATTCGGTATATATAGAGCTACCGAAACGGCCATGAGCGCATCATGAATGTGCGAATACACTCCGACGTGACGTAATACACTCCGACGTGCGAATACACTCCGACGTAACGCTGGGCACAGTGACGCTGCGCTAGCAAAACTCGAGCACTCTAGTCTGACGGCAGGAGGGACCAGCGTCCGTCGGCGCGGCCCGGCGGCAACCGGCGCAAAATGCGACTTGGCGCATTTCGCGCCGTTGGCGTTACCCAGACAGCACTGCGTCTGCCTCTCTTCGTGACGGAGAAACGCCGGCCGCGATCACACGTGCATGTGTCCAAGCAACGCAGTGCGACGCGCGCGCGCGAGTATAAGGCAGTGTTAAGGTCGCAGGAGGAAGTTGCTGATGATGGCATCCCACCGCTGCCACCAGTTAAGGGTCGAAAGGAAGTTCGCGGATGGCATCCCACCGCTGCCACCAGTTGTTGCGAATGGGGGTATACCCGGTCTCTTGTGGTAGCGTGGTGTAACCGGGTGGAGGAAACGAACGCTGACAAGAAGAGGACACGAAAACAAACAGGTTTATGGCACTATTTACACTTATTTACAGCAAAGAAAGGTTAGTGGTTTTACAAACCACGAGCGTGGTGGTTGAACCGTTACATGGTTCAGAGCGACGTCCAGCACTCTGCGGCGTCGTTTTAAGCCCTGTCGGGCTCCTCCTCTCCGAGTGGAACACCAATCACACACGCACAACAGGTGAAGGGGACGAGCATGCACGGCCCACGTGCACGTCCAATATTGAGTCGTGATCACTGCACTGCAAGGTGGTGCCAGCAGGGCTCTTCCTCGTCGTGTGTGTGTGCCGCTAGTCGAGAGGTCCCAAGATCCCGACAGCATACATCAAAGGGTCCACTGATCGGTTCGCTCAATTAGCGGGGCGATTTACGGCGGCCGCCACGGTCTCTTTCAAGGAAGATGCTGTCTTTGTTTTCCTTTCTCGAACGGTTAACGACGTCGTGGCGACACGACGTCTCGTCCTCCGGCTAGCACGTACAATGCCTGGCGGGCATAGGCAGCCCGCCGGTCGGCTACGTGATTGAGGATTAAAAGAGCGCCGCTCCCCTGTCAGCTCTGGCGCCGGTCACAACAGCTTCCCCATCGCCTGATGAGTCGCCGAGGCCATCAGTCACCGCTGCTGCTCGAAGGGGCGACGAAAGGGTCCGTAGTTGAAAGTCAAGAACTCGCCTTTGCTTGCCACATGGTCTGGGTAATTGCCGATATCTTCAACAGCGTCTGGCACACTGGGCGCCGAAGGAGTTATCGGAGGCCATGCCTCGTGCCTCGTGCTGCGATCATCCGAAGCGTGGAACCGCTCACCTCCGTACCACTCAGTCACGTGACATTACCGTACCGCTCTGTCACGTGACATCACAGCTGCTCGGAGGCAATGGTGAGAGCATTGCTGTGTTCGCAGGGGGTGACCGCCAAAAGCGTTCGCCTTTGTACCGGAGGGCGAGGGTAAAATCCGAGTGTAGGGCAGCACATTTGCGGCTCACGTTCCAGGCATTATTTTTCTAGGAGGCATTGGTTTGGTCTGTCTCTTAGTCGCGTCTTTTCATATTTACTCGGTCCTTTTCTTTCTCTGTATTCTATACCCTAACGGTGAAGCTAATTAGCAAATCCTTTCTTGTTCACCCTGTACATAAAAAACTATCATCATAAACTGTACACGCCACAGAAATTCGGCAAATCCCACTACTCAGAACTATATCACTGAAAATTAAGAATGCAACATGCAGTTAGCTCGACAAACGCGCCACAGATGTGTGCGGCCTATTCGAAAACTAGCGTCATCATAAATGGGTATATATGCGCCCTGATGGAATGGGTGTCTGAGGGCCCCATGCCCCCTGCTTCATCTCATACGTCGTAATAGGAAAGTTCAACTTCGATACAGCCAAGTTCAAGTCCAGTTCAAGCAAAAGTACTCACTAGTTACTGAAAAAAAAAAGCCAAATACCAATAAGCATTGCCCTGTATAGAGCACTGCGTGGCTTAGCGGAAGCTTTGAGCCAATGTTGCTCTCTGTGTTTCTCAATCTTTTTTCTTTATTTATTTCTTTTTACCTTTCTTTCTGTTCATTTCTTTTTCCTTTCTTTCTTTTTTTCCTTTCGCCCATCTGAGCTATTGTATTTCACGCCGGACTAATCTGCGCAACGGAAGAGCATGCGAGGGGCGCGCGTGTTCGGAAGCGAAGCAGAAGATGAAGGGGACGAAGAAAAAATTGCTCCGAAATTTTATTTAAAAAACTAGGAATATCACTTACTACTCCTAATAGTTTGTCTTTTGGGGCCGCTTCATTGGGACACAGCGACAGGAACATCTGCGGGGCTCTCTGCGAATCCCTATATAACACAAGAAGATTACCTTGCTGAGCCATTGATAAGCTCTCAAATTTTACTAGCCAATCTACCATTTATTATTCAGCTGTTACACTGCAATAATTTAACATTCAGAAGAATTTCATATAACAATTACACCTCAGATATTCAACAAATTCTATTATTTCTCTCCCCCTTTTTACTTTTTTTTACATTGCGCAAAACTAATTTCACAGTCAAAACAACGTAATCCTATTCCCCTAGTCTAGAAAACCTAAAGGTATTGACTTGCATTAACCACCGGCTTCTTGGCCGATCCCCCTTAGTGGGTGAGAGCCACAAAAGAAAGGATCAAGCAAGCAAGAAAGAGTGCGCCAGCCGAGTTGTTGCATCGCTTGTTCTAGGCGCAGCCGTGCCAGGTGGTCGCTATACGTGTTGTGACGGCGTCTCTTGGTGCATTTTCTTTCGCACACCTTGTGACGGTGCTTCGAGCTTGAACAGCTCCGCCGTCGAAAACTGTTTCGCGTATACGGCAGCTTATCATGACACCGTTTATAGAATGCTTTTCACAGTTCTGTGTACTACACCTCGAAGTATATATCCAGGCTAATCAGAGTGGCCAAATACCGCGTATAATAAGCGGCTTTGGGCTGCTTGTTTCTCCGAGTCACTTGTGCAATTATCTGGTCACTTGCCGCATTTTTTGGGCTTACTTGTATTTTCCCATAAAATATAGGTACTTTATTGTTCATGACCGTTCACAAATTGTCATACACCAGTGACACGTTTGTCGATGGCTCTGAGTAGTTTCATGCGAAAGTCAAACATACGTCGGGGAGTCAACAAGTATTATTAATCACGCACCGACAAACGTGCATTCAACCGAATGGACAATGCAAAATAGGAAATAAGTGCCCTCGTTTACATTTGCTCATATTTTCGCTATGCAAACTAAATAAAGTCAGTTTTCCAAGTCACTTCGTGTTCGAGCAACATGTTTTTATTATAATTAAAATTATTTAGAAAAATAAAAAAAGCTATGTAATTTCATCTTCTTTTGCGCTTACTTTGTGATCATTTATTCGCCTGTTAGCGCTGTATGATCTCGCAACTGTAAAGTTGACGCACATTCTATGAGCGAATACGTCATAGCGACGTAGAATAGCGAATTACAAGCACAACGACCATGGTTTATTCGGACAGATTTCGGAGTGTCAACATGGTGCAGGCGACCGAACTGCCAGAAACGCCCGAAGAATAAGACCTGTCGTAAACCATGCGTTGGATACTTTTGCATAAACGGAACTCTCAAGACTGAAAAGTAAGTTGATCAGTTATTCGCCGAGACGGCTTCAACACGCACCGTTAGCTCAGTCTTATCGGGTGATGACAAAACTTCGTTTTCCCATTATAATCTGGTTGTGATGATCAGTTGCAGAATGCTAACTATGCTTAATCTATTTGGCGCAAGACGTTTTCTTTGATTGTTTTGCTTTTTTTCTTCCTGTATATGCTTTGCTTACCTTCGTTTCTTGTTGGTTTCTTGTTTCTTGTTTCTTGTTGCTTCTTGTTGGTTCAGTTATCAACTTCTGCTGTATATACGCTACATTATTTCCAATTGCGATGCGTTTTTCTTTCCTTTACCCCCCCCCCCTCCCCCTTAGTCTTATGAGTCGCATCAACGCGTCTCACTACGTATAATGAGTCACAAAAAACAAATACTGCGATATTTTATAAAGTTTTCAGTATATGTAGCCACTTCTTGCCATAGTGAATTGAGTTAAAGTGTGTTTTATTACTTCTACTTGGCAAACTTTGATGCTAGGCATTGTAGAGGCCGTCAGTATATGTAGCCACTTCTTGCCATAGTGAATTGAGTTAAAGTGTGTTTTATTACTTCTACTTGGCAAACTTTGATGCTAGGCATTGTAGAGGCCGGAGCTTTGTCAAGCACCAGTACTGTGCTTTTTTCCCGCCACCCCCATATTTATCAAGGAGAAAGTAAAGCTGACTGCTTGATTATGAATACTTGGGATTGCTGTATGACACTGTAGGTTCATTATTTCATTTATTTGAAAAAAAAATGTTTGCCTAATATTAAAGGCAGGGCTCAAGGAACAAAAAAGCGTGGAAGATCTCTGCTTCGTCGTAACTGTTTGTTTTATTCTGTGCTCTTTTCCGGGTGTATCTTGAGAAGCCCCGGCTCATTCGGTGATTTTACACTGTTCTTGGTTGGCACGTTGGCGTGTTTTTAGGTTGAGTTGAGTCTTTCCTTTCGGTATTTTATATACTCCCTGCACTGTTGATTAGTATAATCTGTATATTTTCTATTTCAAGTGCATAACCAATCAATCAGTCAGTCATCAGTTGATTGGTCGGTCGGTCTGTAAAGCAATTCATTTAATTTGCCAAATGATATGAGCTAGTACAGGGGCGCGCACGAAGTAAGAAAATAATTTTAAAGGAAAAAGTGAAACTCTACTACCGGATGAAATACAAAGAGAAAGTAAGACAAACATAAGAAGGAAAACTCCACGATATGGTTAAATATACTACCACAGCATATAGGAATTTAGAAAGACAATGATGAGTACAGTTCACATCTACGGAAGCGCTTAATTCGACAGTTTCGACGAAGGTCAGGCCTTCGTCAAGGATGAGAGTACATTCTGTTCACGCTCACATTTAGAGTATTTTGAGTAAAAATTGAGAGGGGAAAGGACGGCTTAGAAAGAGAAAAAAAGAAAGAAAAATGACAAACAAAAGAGGAAAAAAATCGAGAGCGTTCCAGGGTTCACTGTGCTATGCGAGTGGTGTCGTGGGTGTGTATTTTCTTAGAAGTATTGCGTTCAGTAACTGAACGCAATACTTTAATAATAGGACAGAAACCTGGAGATGCGCAAAGAACGCAGCGATGAACCGGTGTTTTCTACTGGAGCATGCCAATCACTGCTAAATGGACAATCGGAGACAGAAGACTGCGATTGGACTCGAAGACCCGCAGTCTGCTTTTAGCTAACGCGCACGTTGCAGATTTTTTATTCTACAACGCAAAGGAGAAACCTCCCACCAGCACGGACCGCCAGGAGGCGCCAAGCTGTGAAGACATGTTCACACTGCGCTCCGCTTTCCCGAAGCTTTTCTAAGAGCAATTTCGCGCAAACTCATCTAAAAATCTTATAGTCTGCTTTGTGAAGTTCTCCTGATTCCACGGATACCCAAAGCTTGGGCCAGGATCAACTTTACGAGAAGAAACCATCGCAGGCAGATTGGATGACCTTGTTGAGACGCTCACCTTAACGACCACGGCCGGCGTCGCGCGTCCCGGAAGGTACTTCGACGTGCGGAACACGACGGTGTTGTGTGTTTGTGGGAGCACGGACTAGCAGATAGTGAACTTTGGACACTTGCTTTGCTGCCACGGGACAGAGATCGAAGGTGAGCGATGTTTACCTCACTTTTTGACCTGTTTTGTGACACGACAAAATGCCGGCGGGAAAGCTCTGTCAGCCTAAGCGCTCCGACTAACTTGGCAGGAGCGGCGGTCACTTTTCCTTTGTTCTGCCAAGCATGGCTGGCCGGGGCTGATCGCCTTTTCTCGCCATATAGAAGTTGACGAAGCTTATCCCGGCCCTTCTCGGGCACCGGAATCACTCACCGCTGACACGGACGCGAGTGGCGTCTCGTCTCGGCAGACAAAGGATGACGAACCAGCGTCTGTTGACGCGACTCTCGGAAACGAGACTGGCGACGCAACTTGTTCGGAACGCCATGGATGGACTGAGGATGCCTGGCATACCGTTTTATCGCGCAGGCAAAAGAAAAACCAGTAAAAAAAGCAGCGATCCCTGATGGAGAAGGCTGTGAAAGCGAACGAGAAATTTGAAAGCGATCCGCCCGCCGAAAAACAAAAACGTGAAGCCACGCAGGGTTTCAGACGGAGAAAGCGACGCGGCCCGCCTCCGCTACCGAAAGAGGACATCAAGATTATTCTGAGGCCGCATAAGGGTCTCTGGGTTAAAAACATATTGGGACTGGAACTCTCCAGGGCTGTGATAGATGCCTGCCAACGAAGTTTCAATGGCAATGACTTTCTGTTGCGGGTTCACCCAGGATCGAACATTGTAATCCTATCTACGCCAAGCACGGAGGTAGCGAGTAGGCTGCGAGGTATCAGTCAACTAAAGATCAGGGGACAAATCCACGCTTTCAATGCATACGTGGCCGACCCCGAAGGCGTCTTGCGGGGAATAGTACATGGAATACCGGCCGGGACTTCGCAAGATGAACTAATGGAGAACCTACGTGTTCGGACTCAAGGGGTGAATATTGAGAGAGCAAGAATGTTGGGCTCGTCTAAAACGGCGATTATCACATTCACGGGCAATGTGCTACCGAGGAGCGTATACATAATGGGTGCCGAGTTAATATGCTACCCATACAAGCCAACAGTACAGGTGTGCAAGATATGCCTCCAAACCGGACACCGTACGGACGTCTGTCCAACTCCAAATGTCAATGTATGCCTCAAGTGCGGGGCAAGGGAACCAATGCAAGGACACGACTGCATCCCCAAGTGTGTCATCTGTGACGGTGAACACCCCACAGGAGATAGTCTGTGCAAGAAAAAACTTAAGAACGTCGCTCCTCCCAAGAAATTGAGGACAGATCAGCCAAAAGACTGGGTTAGCCAACCTGAATATACCGGCGATGCCAAGTCGTCAGAAGAATTCCCTCCACTAAGGATGAACATGCCTCGATGGTTCAGCTCGGACCGGATGGAACAGCGCCAGTCAAGGTCACGTTCACGATCCCGATCAAGATCCCAGTCAAGGTCGCGATCGAGATCTCGTTCAAGGAGGGACAGACATCACACTAACACGGCACCACCGGCCCCTGGAAAACCCAGCTTAAAGAACCAACCAAAGCACCGCGGACCTCCGGCCGAGATGGGTTCCTGCGAGGAATCACAAGACGCCCTAGCCGCCGGCCGGACAAACATAAATCGGGTGAGCTTTGCGGGGTCAGTGTCTTCCAATGCTCCTATAACAGAAAATCCACAATACAAGAAAATATTGCAAGAAAATAAGAGATTGACCCAAGAGGTCAAACAGCTAAAAAAACAAATGGCCGAAGAGCGAAATAACTTACAGGCAGCAATATCTTCATTAGAGAGACGGCTAGAGGCTAAACTACGACCACAAAACCCGACAGGAATAGCTGGAGGATGTAGTCAGAAAACGACATATCAACAGTCAATAAAACCCACCCGTTCGGGGGCAGCACGGCGTCGGCTGAAGTTGAGGAAGGGATGGTGTACGCAGGTACAACCACCCCTACCCCAAGCACGACAGTAAAAAACCACGACCAAATAACGCAGCAAATACAGGCACAGTTAGACAAAAACAGGGAAGGTATAGCTAACGTTAATAAACTGCTAGTCGATTTCATGAATGAGATAAAATCTTTCGTCTGCGAGGAATTAAAAACTCAAAGGCAGTACGTGAATGACGCTGTTAGCAGCTTGCAAAGGGCGATAAACAAGCGCTCTCGCTCGACCTCCGCTAGAAATAGCAAACAATCTAAGGGGAATCGCGACGACGCGGAAGCACCCATGCATCATGGCCAAAAATAACCAGAGAAGTGTGGAACAATTAGAGATCTGGCAGTGGAATTGCCGCACTTTTCACAAACGCGCCGCAGCACTCCAGAGTTATATCAATGTGGCACCAATTAAACCCGACGTTATATGCTTGCAAGAAATTGGTGCCAGAATAGTGAAGCTTCAGGGTTATTATATTTTTCAGAACCCAAATTATCCCCGCGTAGCGACGCTGGTGAGCAAGATGATTGCGGCAACAGATGAGTACATAGGAACGCTACAGATCAATCACCAAATTATCAGTTTATTCCCCCAAAAGAGAGGCAAAGCGAAGACTATAATAGTGAACCTATACAGTCCTCCAAAAGACAAAGGCGAAGACTTCAATGAGCTCCTTGCTGAGACGGTTAAAATCGCAGGCAACAAGGACCGCCTATTGATTTTGGGTGATTTTAACGCACACAGCAACACATGGGGTTACCCAAAAGACTCGCCGAAGGGAACGCGTCTCGAACATGCTGCGTCCAGGCTGGGCCTGAGTTTAATAACTCTCCCAATTGCGCCCACGAGAGTGGGCAACAGCGTATGTAGAGACACGTTCCCGGACCTCACTTTCACCTTCAACCTCAAAGACGCATCCTGGACAAACCTGGAGGAAAATCTAGGAAGCGACCATTACATTGTAAGCGTCTCCATATCGACACCCAAAATGCGTAGATTGATAGGCGACGCGGCGATCACAGATTGGACTGAGTTTAGGAAACGAGATCCTCCACCCGACTCTGTACCGAACTCAATAGAGGCATGGTCGGAGTACATAAAGTCGGTACACGCCATCACTACGAAGAAAATAGCCAGAACCGTAGAGACGCCAGCAGTAGACAGCCGTCTGCTACACCTATGGGAGAGCAGGCGCAGCCTACTAAAGCGTTGGAAACGTCAACGCCTGAATAGGACACTACTGCGTAGGATCGCTGCTCTTGCAGAGGAAGCAAACGACTATGCCAGCAAATTGGCTACCGAGGGATGGGTCAAGTTCTGCAGTTCGCTTCAGAACACACTGAGCACCGCGAAAACTTGGTCCATCCTAAGAAATATTCTTGATCCAGACAAGTCCAAATCCACGACAAGCAGAACACTGCAGAAAATCGCAGAAACATTTCCGGGCACGGACGACGACCTCGTGAAAGCCCTCAAGGAGAGATATATTGGCGATAGTCCACCAAGTAACTCGGCTAATCACATGAGTTACAGTGGAGCTAGAAATGAGAAACTAGACGAGCCGATAACAAAGGAGGAGGTCTTTGCGGCAGCTCAGGCAGCCAAGAGGAACACAGCCCCCGGTGAAGACCAAATTACGAATGCTATGATAAGAAACCTTAGCGACAAAGCCATCGAAGGCATGACAAAACAATTCAATGAACACTATTGGCTCAAAGGAAAGGTCCCTGCAGAATGGAAAACCGCCAAAATTATAACCATTCCGAAACCCGGAAAAAAGCCCTCCCTGCAGGCGCTCAGACCTATTTCACTTACGTCATGTATGGGGAAGCTTTTCGAACGGGTCGTTCAGACCAGACTTCAGAATTTCATAGAGGACAGGGGACTGTTTCCGGCCACCATGCTGGGCTTTCGCAGTGGTCTCTCAACACAGGACGCTTTCTTCCTGATACAAGAAGAGGTACTCAAGGGTGTTCCCAAAGGTGGAGAGCATTTGCTGCTTGCTCTAGACTTAAAGGGAGCTTTTGACAATATCTCTCATGAAGCTATACTCTCAGAGCTAAATATAATTGGTTGCGGGGAAAATATATATAACTATATAAAAGATTTTCTCACCGATCGGGAGGCGACAATTGGTATCTCAAGCGTTAGGTCTGAGCCATTCCGAATGCCAAACAAGGGAACGCCTCAAGGAGCCATAATATCTCCTCTGTTGTTTAATATCGCCATGCGTCGACTCGCTCGGGCCTTGGATTGTGTACCCCAGCTAGGTTATACCCTCTACGCCGACGACATTACTTTGTGGGCCACACGGGGGTCACTGGCCAGCAAAGAGCAGACTCTGCAAGAGGCGGCACTGGCTGTCGAAAACTTTGCCAGAACCAGTGGTCTCAGCTGCGCACCCGAAAAATCGGAGGTGATCAGAATACACAGCAAACGCTACAAAAGTAACGGAAGAATAGAAATTGAAATCGAAAAGCAGAAAATTAAAGAAGTCACCGTCGCCCGGATCCTGGGTTTCTGGGTTCAAAGCAACGGTAGGGCAAATCACACTATCGGTCTTCTTAAATCAGCAACTAAACAAGTGGCTAGGATGATTCAGAGGATCACCTTCCACAAAAAAGGCATGAAAGAAAGTGATACTGTCCGATTAGTGCAGGCGCTCGTAATGAGCAAATTGACATACAGCTTGCCTTTCCACACGCTGAACAAGAGCGAGGAAGACAAAGTAGATTCTATCATCAGAGGGGCTTACAAGGCAGCATTAGGCTTACCGATAAGCACTCCGACACAGAGGGTTCTCCAGATCGGCCTGCATAACACGTACGCTGAACTGAAAGCAGCAACATTGATCTCTCAGCGCAACTGCCTCAGCCAGACGAAGTCGGGAAGAGAGATACTGATGAGGGCGGGTATAACACCCCAACCCCAAAACTTGGACGAGGAGCTGGTGGACGTACCAGACCCAATCCGACGACATATTTCGATCGCCCCTATCCCCAGGAACATGACCAAGGAGCGGCATCACGAAAGGCGAGAGGAGCGTGTAAAATGGATCAGAAAATTAGTTAGAGGCAATGAGAACGTGCTATACGTTGACGCTTCCAGGTATAACTGGAAGCGCTGCGTCGTCACAATGGTAAGCAGTGACACGAGAAGCATGGCGTCCAGCGCATCACTGTACACTACATCGATCACCAAGGCCGAGTGTTTCGCCATCGCATTGGCGATTAAATGTCGAGAGCGCAGCGACGGCCAGACGTACATCACCATACTCTCAGATTCGCAAGAGGCGTGCCGGCTATTCACGAAAGGCCGCCTCCCATTAAACATTTGCAAATTTTTAGGCGGCGAATTGAGCAACACTTATAGGTTGGTCTGGTGCCCTGGACATGCAGGCCTAGAGGGTAACGAGAGGGCGGACGCTCTAGCTCGAGCGCTCACGAACCGAGCGGAGCAGCAGCCTTTCTCGCTGTTACCACCACCCAGCAACGACGGCTTTCGCGAGGAGGAGGAAAACGACCCGGCTCGGATGGCTCCGCGAGAGCTTCTTGCTCACCAGCGATACACGCGGCAGAAATATGGCGCCCCCCACAAATCTCTTAAAGGGGAAGACGCCATAGACCTCCGTAAAATTCAAACGGGAGTTTATCCAAATCTATTACGACTGCACAAAATTCATCCAACTTTGTATGGGCGCGATTGTCCGTGGTGTCGCGACTCGCCACCGACCCTTTACCATATCTCGTGGAGTTGTGCTAAACGGCCAAATGAACTTGATCGCTTACAGCGTATGTATAGAATAGAAAACTCTTTGGAGCAATGGGAGGCACTCCTCGCTAGCTCGGACCCGGAGGTGCAACTAGCACTCCTGGACCACGTCCGGCAGGCGGCGCAAGCCAGTGGAGCCTTGGACATGGGGCCCCACCCATCTAGCTCCTAAACCCCTTCTTTTTCAACCCAATAAAGTTATTTCTCTCTCTCCCACCAGCACTACTTTGGAGGACAATATCTAGTGCCTTTATATACGGGGTGGCTGCAGTGAACGGTTGAGAAGCGGGAGCAGTCGTTCTTTTTCTGTTTTTTGTTTTTCAACCAGGGAACTCACATAGGAGACGTTGCCGGCGTCGGCGTTGCAAGACCAGAAAAGGGGAGCGGACGCGCCCGGGCAGTGAGAGTGGTCACGCCGCACACGGGATTGAGCTCAAGCCTAAGCTGCTTCGCATCTAAAAAAACATCTATTTGCCACATAGATGAGCTTTGACTGATACCTTCAAAATGAGTTTTTCTCGAGATCCTTTTTGGGCAACTTCTTGAGATTAGACACGTTTTTGGTACTTTTGATAGCTAGAGCAGGAAGAAATTTCGCCTACATATTTCTTGACATGTGAAGGGTGCAAGTGTCTCCTTTAAAACTCTATATCACCTGTCCAATTATTCCTTCTCTCCCTCTCTAACTTTTATTCCCCTTACCCTCTTCCCAGTGCAGGGTAGCTTGCCGGGCTCAGCCATGATTAACCTCCCTGCCTTTCTTTCATCCTTATTCTCTCTCTCTCTCTCTCTTTGTCTAATTATTACGAAGCTAAATCGAACAATTAGCATGGGCTGGACATTAAAAAAAATTCTATTACAATTTTTCTTGCCCATTGAAATATTCTTTATGCCCTTTCTTGATAGTTATATGAACTCTACTCTTAATTAGGAGCAATGTGATCCATTAATGGCTCAGAACCATAAAAGTTTAATGGTATAAAAAGTTTCGCCACAATTAACTATATTTCACACATTGTCATGACACAGAATGAAAACTATGCGACTTGCCTCCCCCCCCCCCCCCCGCGGTGGTCAAGTGGCTAAGGTACTCGGCAGCTGACCCGCAGATCGCGGGATCGAATCCCGGCTGTGGCGGCTGCATTTCCGATGGACGCGGAAATGTTGTAGGCCCGTGTGCTCAGATTTGGGTGCACGTTAAAGAACGCCAGGTGGTCGAAATTCCCGGAGCCCTCCACTACGGCGTCTCTCATAATCATATGGTGGTTTCGGGACGTTAAACCCCACATATGAAATCATAATAAACTATGCGACTTACTACAAAACAAGTTACATATTTAAAATTAGCATAAAATCTTGTATATATAGCGAAAAAATTTTCATTGCCATAGCCTACCGATTCCCCGAATTTCTTTTTCGAATGGCATCTTCTTTCGAAGGAGAAAGTCATTTTGGCGTTTTTGTTTTCCCAGTCGACAAGTACGTCGACTGACAAAAAAATCCTTTGACTACGCTGGTGAAAGGTATCAAATTTACTCGTTTTGTGAGACTGGAGCCAACCGGAGAGTTTATAACACATCTGCAAGTGTTGTCAAACAGAGTTTCTGTGCGTAGTTCTTTAGCGTAACTCTGCCCATCATAATACTTATATTTCACTTGGATAGCAAAAACGCTGATTCACGTCAATGGAAGAGCGTCTAAAACAAAGAGATCATTTAGACATACTTTTTTATTCATAGGTGCTTCAGCTCAACTATAGCATCAAAAGACCCAAAATGCAAAGTCTCTTTGGCCGATCCTACCCAACGTTATCCTGGATGCTGTGGCGCAGTTCTTTGCAGTGGAGGGTAATTGCGAGGAGCCATTGTAAGGAAATATGAGCTTGAATATGGGTAATGTCCAGCTTGTTTAGAGCGTAGCTCTTACCAAATTATTCAACGCGCGGAAGCCGCAAGTTTTGAAACGTATGCTGTAGATAAGTATAAATTTTAATAAACCGAATTCTCACTCTGTGAAGTTTTAGTGACTGTCGACCTAATAAATTTTCACTGGTGCGGAAATAGGTGAAAATTACAATGAAATATGCGTAGTATTTTTTGGGATAAGAAAATTCGAGGTCATTTAATATCTTCTGTCACCATAACGCCAACCATTCTTGTGATATTTGAACATGACTTGGTGCAAGAGAATCGACATAAAGCAGAACTACCGAAGAAGAAAGCTTGAAAGTGAAAATCTTTTGAACGTGCGTATTGCGGGATCACAAACAGATGGGTTCTTGTGCAGGTAAATGCAATATCATGTTATAATAATACAAGAAAAATACTTTTTTTGTAACATTTAGCTCCCAAAAGGTATTCTGATGTGTGACAAAGTTTGGAGGCTTCAGTGCAAGAACATAGATGAAAATGATTGCATCTTCGAAATAAATAAATAAATAAATAAATAAATAAATAAATAAATTAATAAATAAATACTGATGAAGGCTGAGCAAGCAGCTGAAACGTTGGTGCTTATCAAAGGTTATGTTTCTACGTGCCTCGTGTTTTCTCGCTTACTACAGAGCAAGTCTACCGTCAGGTGTGTGTATATATATATATATATATATATATATATATATATATATATATATATATATATATATATATATATATATATATATATATATATATATATATATTGAATGGGGAAGCCCATATTCGTTTTCACATCCTGAGGCACTTTTGCATACACTGTGGTACACACAGTGTACACTGTGGTTGTGTACACTGTGGTTATAAGCATTCGGCTCCCATCAAGGTGGGAACGTCATGTCATAGAATCGAACCCGGGTCCTGTAGAGCTCAGCACCTTCACACCTTAGTCACTAATCTACAAGCGTGTGTGTAGGAGCCCCAGTGGGATTCATGTACTGTCTTAAAACCTGAAATATTTTTCAAGGGGTGTTAAACGCTGACGGTAAAATTAAGAAAGGAGGCCTGAATCCATGGAATATCCTAGTTATTCTACTGCTTTAGGTAAAATGAAGGATTTATTGTTTCATTTATTGTGATATCTACATGAAAATATGAGGGTATACACCTGATCTCCATCGATCTGATTCCTAAGGGACATATATTTGCGGACAAAAGAGCACTTGTAAAGAAAAGAACGCATACGAACCAGAACATTCGCCAACAATTACTGAAATAAAAAAAATTAAGGCTTCTGTGTGAGATACAGCGAGAAATTGTGAAGGCGAAAAATGTTAGCGCTATGAAAAATGATTGCGTCGATTTTGTGAAACTTGTACGAGTTTCTTCCAGGCCGAATCTTACGCTAAATCATCCGCTCGCTTTTGCATCCCAAGACACTAAAAGAAGTGAAGGAGACTCTCTGCCCGGGTCCAGGCTACAGATTAAGCCGCAGCCACCGGTGGTCGACGGAAAGATGCTCACGGCAGCTTCTGAACTTGCAGCAACATCACAGTAATTGTTAAGCGATGTGTTGTGCAAGTATATCAGACGTAAACGTAGAGTGGAAGTGGCTACGTAGCACGCAGAAGATATTTCGGGAGTTCGGGCACCGGAACCCCGACTATGATTACGACCCTGTTGATATACAGAGGTTCAATTGATATATCCTTTAGCTCAAGTTTCAGACTCTGTGGTCTAACGTGCTTGTATATTTAATGCAAAAAGCAGTTCTTACTGCGATTGCTTTTAGAGTTATTACTTTCGCCATCATCGTCAGCACCACCACGAGGTTGCGCATGAAGCACAAATTGAGAACATCCCCTGCGTGTTCTATGCTCGATGTACGAGTGCAAGCATGTGAGGGATGCCGACGATTGCAGTTGAAACTGTTCGACTGGATGATATCTTCAGCGTACTTTATCACTGTTTTTGCTATTGCTATAGGGATTGCTCGTCATTACGTCGCAAAGACAACGGCATATTTTGCAGAAGCATGGCTCATTTATTGTTATCGGCAGGTTACCACTGCGCCACTCACTGTATAAATAATCTTGTTTCTCACCTGTGGCTGAGGCACCGGGAGTTATGGACCCATCTGAATGACGCTGGGACACGACTCTAGTAAAATGTACATAATCTGCAGTCATTGTTAAAAGAAACCAAAAACGATTCGTGCTTACACATGAATATATGCGCGACCTCACTTAGCTACGAAAATTACACAGAACCTCCGCAGGAGCTTTCCTAGTATGCGTAGGAATTTTTTACTTCATATGCAGCAGAAGTGATGGTAATGTAGATTAGAGAGTTCGGTGAAATTAACCGAAGGGGACTCTGGCGCGGCGATCACTGAGCGACCTTAGGAATTATGAATATGACGTGGATTTGCCTAGTCTTCGTGCTTGAGGGCGGCGAACGCACTCTTGGCTTCGTTTACTGCTGTGTTTTGGTTTTGTTTTGAATAAAAAAAAAACGAACCGTTTTCCACTTCGTGACGCGATTTGAAGTGGTAAGCCTAAAAGATTAGGGTGGTGAAGCGTAACTGCCGAACATTTGCCGATTGCTGTTTCGTCACAAAGCAAATTTAAGCCACGTGAAACCAGAACGAACGTAAAGATAGATAGATAGATAGATAGATAGATAGATAGATAGATAGATAGATAGATAGATAGATAGATAGATAGATAGACTAGGCAAACTCATTTCATACCCATACTTCTAATTCTCGCTGAAGCGCCATGCGTTGCAGCTCCCATAGACACTAGCGCCAAAGTTCCCTCTAGCGTATATTTAGGAAACTCTATGCTGTAGATAGACATATTTCATATGAGTAGATCCGCTGTCGACCATAATCGGACCCTCATTTATTTCCTTGCTTAGTACATCAGTTTAATTCAATTTTATTCACTTATTCATCCATAACATTGACTTATTGTTGGTAAAACAGAATCAGAATCAAATCATTGGTCAGCAGTACTTTCTAAATTGATAAATACGTGAAAAAAAATCTCACAAAATGAAACAAGAAAGCAAAAAAAAATTTGCTTTCAGGGAACACAAGCAAAATTCAGTCGAGAAACAAGGGAACAAGCAAGATCACTTGGATATATCACTGCTTAGGGGCTTAACATTGAAAACTCGATGTCAGTATTGAAGGTCATTCTAGTCGCGAATGCATCACCAAATGCTTTTACAACTTTCTACAATACATCATTCAATTACGTGTTCAATATGTGAGCAGCCGGTACAGCAAATGAGTTTCAAATACGGAGCACTTTAAAGGGAGCCGGGTTGGCGTATGTTGTGGTCGTATGCTGTCGTGGTAGCTTGGCGTAGCGCTTCATGATGAGCGCTCGCCCGCCCCGAGAATTGTTCTTCCTCAAGCGCCTTGATAAGTGAGCGTTCGCTCGCGCCATAGAGAAATCTTCATCCTCTTGTTCTTCGAGCACTTTGATGATACGTGCGGAACATTTAAGAGGCCTGGATTGTCGTATGCAGCCATCACTTGACTTGACGTAGGCTAAACGACACATAAAAATAGAAAAAAAATATGAAGGAAGCGTGAGAAAGAGAGAGAATGGGAAAAATAGAAAGAAAATAAGAAAGGCCAAGAAAGAGATAAAAAGATGAAAAAATAGGCATAAATAAAGAGGAAAAAAGACAGAAAAACTATTAAAGACAAAATGAAAGGAAGAGAGGCGGAATAAAAAAAAACGATGAGAAAAAAGGAAGGCTGCCCAAGCCCGCTAAGCCTTCAGCTTTGGCATTCCTTGTTTGAAGCTGCCTGAACTTTTAAAAGAAGTTTGCGTTATATATGAAAAAAAATTCATGAGCTTACCGTGTTTTGTCCGCGAATGTGATGTGTGTAGGGGCAAACCGTGTGTTTGGAACAAATGGCGGTATTTAGAAAAAAAAATTTTTGACGATTTAGAGGGCTCGGCATTCTGCTATGGGAGGACGTAAAGCCATTCCAGCACTGTCCTTGAATGGATTCCTAAAGGGCGATTCAGTGCATACATTTGCGGGGTGGCCAGGAAATGGTGGTGTGGCACGAGCAGCCGTTTTTAGGGGCGAAGCTAAGCCGTGAATCGTGTGTCCTCGATGTATGTATGCTCTGCGACAACTCTCTGTGGCAGCACCATAGAGAAACATACTTATGGCAGCACAGCCAAAGCTACGTGGGCGGAGCGTATGCACATGTGTTACTACGCCAAGTGGTCAGTTTGCGTGCAAGAGCATTCCGCATGTACGTTTTTGTACGAAGACCTATAAATAAATGTTAGATTTTAGGAAGAAGAATCAATAAAATGTTCATTCTAGAAACATAAGAACAAAAAGCTTTATTCAAAAAACAAAGGCACCTCCTAACAGAAACGGGGCGACTGGAAAAACAACGAAATGAAACGAAAACATTTCCTAAATTTCAGTGCATATATACTGGTTCGGCATTCTCGACTTTCTCCTTTTGCAGACGCAAGAACTTTCTAGACACGCTCAAGTTATTTTATAGGCGCAGCTCATTAAGCCGTGTGTCGTGCGTTCGCAATGTATAGTAGTAGTCGTCGTCGTAGGTAGCCACCTCTCTTTTTGTCCTTGGAATCTCCGCTGGATGGCGGGCGGTACTTCTATATCATAAACAAATATGGAAAGATGTGAGATGGCGGCACTTGGAGTGTTCTCTAGATAGATGGACGCACAAATGGGCGGAGGGACGGACGCACGGACTGACACACGGACGGACCAAAGCAAGAATGAACGGACAGACGGAAGCGCAAATGGACTGACGGATGCTTCGCCCCCCTAATCACCATTCATTGCGTGGATATGCCGTTATTTTTTTTTATGAAACGCGAGTGCATTGATGGATAGCTGGAATCTTGGCCATGACCTGTAACGAGCCGGCGTCTGACGCTCGTAAATTCAAGTGAGT